GAGGTCGTTCAGGGCGTGGTGAGCTTTTCGAAAACGGTTTGTTGCATATTGTAGGGGCTCACGCAAGGACCTGAAAAGTGTGCTTCATTTTCGCTGCGCGCTTCCAGGAACGGTAAAAAACGAGTGAAAAGAAAAATCTGTTCTGGCGGGAATTGCTTCGTTCTGGGCCTCTTTACGGCGTGGGTCACTTGCAACTTTGACCAGTTGCTGTGTGGGGGTACTTATAAAGGGGCTATTTGAATCGAAGCGGAAAATCGCCGCAAGTGAGCTTCCAACTGGGTCATTCGGTGCTCCCGAGGCTCGATGTGACACGGGCTTCTTCAATGGTGTTCATCAACGATAGAGCTGTGGTTAGTAGTGTCGAGCATCGAGATGGTCTAGTGGAGTAGAGTGGAGGGTGTTCGCCCAATCGGTAGTTGGCGGGTGGAGGTTGATGGTTCGGCTCCCCTTGCGTCGTCGCTTTTTGCATTTTTTAGATTTCGCTGTTCTCGCTTCCATTTTTGCCTGCGCATGAATATAACTCGGATATTTGCCATTTATGGGCACATTCTGAGTAGCTATACCTCATGAGTCAGTGCTATTCAATTATTTCGATTCTCACGCACCATTGAACAAGATTGGTACTGGACGTTGTTCCTCATAGGCTAGGATACAGTGGATCTGATTGCGAATTTAGTAATTCTGGTGTGGTGCGATTATAGACAATTCTGGGGCCCACCATCTTCTTTGATGTCACTGAGACTTGCGGTTTGATCTCCTGCAATATCACGCCTAGGGAACGGTTCAGCGCCATATTCTGGTTCGCGCAACGAATTCGCCGTGGATCGCCAAGATGACTTATCTATTTGGTCTACGGAACACATGATTACCACCTAAAAAATCGAATTTTTGTGTCAAAACAAATGTATTTTGACTCTTCTTGGGTTTGCCTTGTTGAGGGTTGTCGGTGTCCGGTAGCGCAACGCATACGCATCGCTGTTACGAAGATGTGAGACTCCGCTCACACTGCCGACCAAATGGTCACCTACAACCCGAAAAAGTCAAAAAAAATTTTTCGCTCAAAACTTGCTCCTAGGGGTAATCGACAGTCCTGATCACGATTCTAGACTTTATTTTCGGTTCCAGTGCCATCTGACACCGGCATAGCGCCGAAGAGCTGAGTCTGTGCATACTAACGAATTCGAACGAAAAAGCAGTTTTGCTCCATAAAAGTAGGATTGTTCAGTTTATCGTGAATGTTTTTGTTAGGACCAACTTATTTAGACAAACATGGATCCAAAAAATGAAAAATTGTAGAAAAGCAAAATTTTGTCCTCGGTGGGATCCGAACCATCGACCCTCTAAATTATTTTTTTTTCCAAAACCGTTTTTTTTAATCGCTGGGAAGCGCGCAGCGAAGAATGCGACCTCAGCTTTTCTTGGTCTCGATGTGCCCTCTACCAATATCGCCACAAAGACCATTTTGAAAAAGCTCACACTGCCCCTGAACGACCTCCTTCGTTAGCATCACTTCTTCCAGGAATCTTCCAGTTTTAACCTCAGAAACCCTAACCATTCGCTGTGGTGGAGCAGGGGAGGGGTACACAGCGCACACACAAAACAGGAGAAAAGTCAAGAACCAGAAAAAAAATTTGCTTCGAAAAACTTCTTTAGGGCCAAGTACGACCCTGTGTTAAACCAAACAGAACCACCCCCCCCCCCGCCCAGTGGAATTCAAGCTACATAGATAGCGCGACCTGAAGCAAGAATAAATCAACTATCAAAAAGAATCTTCTCGGGCGCCCAAATACTTCCCTCCTCCCGTAGGCGACCAAACACGACCACCCGCTGGGGATTCTCCAACGTACGGGGAGCTTTTGTAACGGCACCGCCTGCCTCGAACAGATTCTTGGGACCAAATGTTCGATCGCTTCCTTCCAGCGACCATAAGAACATTCCATCTCTCCCGGGATCGCGCTTAATTGGTACGAGCTCGCAGGGGCAGGTCAGAAACCACATGCCTTTACATCTGCTGCCCCCCCCCCCACAATCATTGCAATGAGTCCAAAATCGTTTTTAAAAAAAAAAATGAGGTAATGCACATTTCAAATGCTCCACACGTGAAACAAAAGTGACGAGAAATTCCAGATCAGGAAACTTATCAAGCCCCAAAGCGTCTAGCCTTTGACAACTTCATTAGTTTGCCTGAGCAAAAGACAAAAGATAAGGTCTTTGTCATTGATCAATCCCTTCTGCCATGCAGGCATTTCTACTTCACTGAGAATCGTATTGTGGTTCAAACTGAACGCCGATTATGGGATCCGCGTACCAGCTACCGTCCCTAGGGTAGTTTTGGTTGGCCTGGGAGTAAGACTATCCAGGATTTGACCTGGAGACGGCGCGCATGTTAAGCTTGTCATTACCCGTAACATCTTTGCCACAATGAACGAACTATGGATATCAGACGAAATAAGGCACTGATCGATTTATAGCCGGAATTCGCGGCGCATTCTACATCTATTCAGCTACTGTATGTCAGCTGGCGGACAAGATAACTCGTAGAGGTGACCCTGATTGTCACTTTCCCATTTTCGCCCAATATGGATTGATTGACATGCTGGATAAAAGTGAGACGATGAAGTACAATCAAAATTCTCATTTGCAGAGAATATTGGGTACCTTTAAAACCGCTGCTGACAAAACCTTTTAACAAGAAGAGGTACTTTTTTCGCTGTAGTTGTCCATCAATTTACATTCCCTCTACCGAAAATGCCCTCTAAGACCCAGAGCACCACGAAGCATGCGTCGCGTACAAATGACCCGTAATTTATGAAAAACACAATTAGATGCAAATAACTTCTTTCAAGCATTGGTTAATCAAATTTAGAAAAAGTTTGCAGACGAGGTGCACTTGCGAAGAAATGGAACTTTAAATTGGAATAGAAATTAGACTAGAAACAGAAGTAGAATTAGGCAGTTTGCGCACGATAATTTTGAAGTAGAGCTGAAAGCAGCCATGGTGACTAGTTATGTTCAAGACGTGAATGAAGTGAGGCGAACAAAACGGCTGGGGAACAGGGAAAACGGGGGCCTTATTATCCACGCTCTACTGCGGGATGGTCGTCCAGGAGTGGACGAGAGAACGGTGGGGCGGGCGCTTCGTGGACGAGTGTCCCGCTGAACCGCTCACTGCTGGCTTTTTGCCAGCCGACGCCAGCTGAGCGGTTCGATCGATGAACCCTATTTTATTGCTTTATCACTACAGTTTAGGGCAAGATTGCAGAAAATACAGTCTTAATATTAAGTACGAGTTGATTCGAGAGTTCTTAAAATAAAGAATAGCAGTGTGTATCATCATTGTAAATGCAATATCATGATCACAATTCCGTTTCAAAGAAGATCAGATATGTTTAAAGGCATTAACGCATGAGAAATCTTTACAACTGCAGAATCACCCACCTAGTACAGTAAAGTCTGGTCAAATCAACGATGGATTAAAAAAATCGATGAAAAGTAATAAATAAACAGCAGTACGATCGATCGCACTAGTTGACACAAAACAAAATGCCCCTGAATTCTTCTTACCGCATTTCTTCTGCTTTTGAAAATAAGAAATAAAATCTTAATCGACATAGAGACATCAGAGATCAAATAAACTTCAAATGTCTACATAGTACTAAAAAAATAAGAAACCAAAATGCGCACTACTGGAAGAAGGAATTTTTTCCTACGTCACGCCACATTACACGTAGGATCCCACCACGAAAACGGTCCAAAGCGGCACGTCCTCGTGGAGGGATCCTATACGTCCAAAAGTAGGCGGGCGGGCAAGGAAGGCGTTTGGGACGTAAAGTTGTTGCTCAATAGGGCGTTATAGAGGTACCCTCCATGGAAATGGCTTCACGCAGTGCCTGTCCGAGGTCACGGAATTCCGTTAAGCCAGGTTGTTGTAAACCCTTAGACCTGTATCAGCGATTATCGCGCAATGACCTTTAAGTGCATGTCATGTTTGCGGGCCACCACAGATAAGCGCAGCAGCGTCAGAAGACTGTTGAGCACCTCGTTATTACCGTTTCTCCTGCTCCAAAGGCCTTGCCGAAGACGGGCAAGAGAATCGTAATTTGCCGCTCCGCGGCGCGCGGCCGATAAGCGCGGCAATTTCTTAACTTATGTTAACTTGTCGATTGAGCACCGCACTTCATGGAGACCTCGTCATCGTAGACATTCATGACTATTTTCGGTTCTCTGAATTGCCTGTGTGTGCCCGACTAAGTATCTGGAACCATCATTTTGGCAGGCGCGGAGTCGCATTACGACGCTTCACCAGACGCGGAGAATACGATATTTCCCTTGTCACATACCCCCAAGGCTCAGGCTTAGCGGAACACAGGCAGTCCGAGCCAGGGCACGCCATCGCGTTGTGACCAACTCCTGAAAAGAACCTCCCCCTGATTTCATCCTCAAATACCCCCTCCCCTCCTCGCCATGCTACCTACCACTTCATTAGAGTTTCCCGACTTCCCACCAAATTTTTCCTTTTTTCCCGCAGAAAATTTTCTGGTTTTTCCCCAAAAACATTTTGCCTGTCAGAGCGGGGGGAGGGGGGGAGCGGGTTGTCAAAAATTTAACCTATCATTTCAAACTAGTCGGGATACGATGTTGTATACATCTTGCATCCTCTCTTAGCGTCGTGTTCTAGTCTGATACTGCGAGACACACCGCGGCTGGTGTTACTCCGAGACGGTCCCGAAATAGCGCCATAGCCCACCCCGACCTGGGCCAGCGCTCAAAAAGTGCCCCACCACCGACCGCAAAACCGAGCGTTCACACATCTTTAGAACTGCAATCTCGATACGTATCTAATAGTAGTCGCAGACTCCGATCAAGAGAGTCACGAACTGTGAACCCTGCCCAGTTCCGACATTCTTTTCGGACGATTAACAGGCGGGCAGGCGGTACAATAACAATCCAACTGTAGTACCATCAATTTTGAAAGAATCAATATTGGCAATATCACTAGACTAAACATACCGTGTTTGCTGCATCTTTTGCATATGCATAAAGTACTGTTGCTGCGACATACTCGCTCCATTCGGATAGCCTTGGTACATCATAGCAGCTGAATGGAAACATACATAACCTAATTCGCTTACAACAAGTTCAATGGCTGAAATCGTAACGGGAGCTGTTCTTCAGGTTAAGTGATCCCGCCCATAATGACAGTATGCAAAGATTGGTGGTCCACCTAAATTGTCCTTAACGAGGCAGTTCACGGTGATCGTATGGGCGGAAACAGTCACACACTGTGTCTTCCTCAATGACACGCCCATTCCCTTCATGAAGAAGTCAACAGGCGCACTACGGATGACATAGTGGTTGACTGTCTCCGCCTCCACGATCACCGCGGAAGGCATGTGTCTTCAAGTTAGGATAACTCAAACTGAGCTATTTTCATATTTTTCATCACAAAAGAAATTTGTCAACTATAAGGTCAAAATTCTGAGGTCTCAGGGGAAGCAAACCCATGAGAAAAAGTTTTAGAAGGAAAAACGACTGGATTTTTGTAGAACGTCTCAGAACAAAGGATGAACGTAGCAAACCTCGTTGTTGCATCATCGCTTTCATGTGTTGTTGATGCTTTTGCATCATAACCATGTGGTATTGCTGAGCGCTCATCGCACCTCCAGCTCCACCCACTCCCATCATCATTTGTTGCTGATGATGCGCCTGAAAACATTTCTACAATATTCTAAGCCTACAGTAAATATGGTGACAAGTGATTAGTTGCTCCCTTCTCCTCCAGGCTTTTTCACACTTCTTTTTGAGAGCTCTGCTTCTGTTCATTATTGATTTCGCCACTAAGCAAGCACTACGAGACTCATACTCGGTAGCACAGCGCGGCAAACTCCTGGTCCTGCGACAGAGTGGATCCCGGAGAGAAAGATTCTCTATGAAACTGGTTCACGTAGTGCTAGCGGGTAAGGGACTTCAGCCGAATCTCAACTCCTCATAA